TCACACGTCAAAACCTTAGGGTTTATACCTACATATATAGACATACACCTAAAGAATAGTGTAGGTATTTATTTTAAATAACAAAACTTATTTTATTTTCTGTTGTACACAATTTGAGAAAAGTTTGAATAATAAAATTTTCTATTTGATTGACGAACCACAAAAATCACATAAATCTAAAATTTCCAAAATTACAAAGTTGAAATGAACACAGTACAATAAAAGGTAATAACACAAATACAGACCCTACAATACTCCCCCTTCTAGAGAATTAATGTTATATAAATTAAAAGTAACTCGTTTCTTATTTGATGTTGTGTTATTCATTGTATTAGTGTTTGTTTCTGGTATTAGTTCTGTTTCAATGATTGCTGGTTTTAGTCTGTCTATCGGAATTGTTTTAACCTCATTATCTACTTCAAGTTTGAAATATTTTTTGTTTTTTTCAACAACCTTATAAGGTCCTTCGTATGGTTGTTGCAATGATCTTTTATTAATAACACGCATAAAAACAAATTTACAAGTCTCCAAATCCTTTGGTATATATACACCAGTATCAGAATTTTGATTATGCCTTAAATTTGATTTAACATTTTTAAAATGTTCCCGTAAATTACCTAAAACTTCAATTGGGGAAAATTTTTCTTCAGATGGAACAACAAGTTCACCGGGTAGGCGTAAATTTTGCCCAAAAACCATCTCAGATGATGTGGCTGAAATACTTTCTTTATACATCGATCGTAAACCAAGAAGTATTATCGGCAGCTCATCATACCAATTGTTGATTCCATTTCCAGCCATTATCGTAGCTTTTAACTGCCTGTGAAACCGTTCTACCATACCATTCCCTTGAGGATGATATGCAGAAGTTGTAACGTGATGACTACCAAGCAATTTTGTTAGTTCCGAAAACAATTTTGACATAAACTGAGTACCCTGATCTGTAGTGATTTTTAACGGTACCCCAAAACGTGAAACATATTCTCTAAAAAATTTATTTGCAACCACTGCCGCTGAAATGTCCTTTAATGCATATGCCTCGGGCCAACGCGTGAACCTGTCAATTATTGTAAAAATGTAACGATGTCCTTTCGATACAGGAAGAGGTCCAACAATATCTAAATGAATATGATCAAATCTACTTTTGGGAATCGGAATTTTAATTACTGGAGATTTTGTGTGACGATTAACCTTCGATTTTTGACAATTTATACATTCTTTTGACCAAATATTAATTTCTTTGTGCATTTTTGGCCAATAGTACTTTTTAATAATTAGACGACGTGTAGCTTTTGTACCAGGATGTGTAATGCCATGTAGCATATTAAACACTGTCTTGCGTAAACAATTTGGAACAAATGGCCTAGGATTCTCACCTGTCATTTCACACCAAATATTAAAATTTAAAAGTGGAATTTGAATTAATTTAAGGTTATGTGATGTGTCTCCAGATTTTAATGTGTTTAGTTCCTCGTCCTGTTTTTGTTCATTTTGTAAAACTTTGAAATTCAGTTCTGTACCCTTAATTGCATCAACTTCGAAAGCTCGAGATAATGTGTCAGCTATAATGTTCTCCTGTCCTTTAATATATCGTATGTCATTAGTAAATTGTGCAATGAATTCCATATGTCTAGTTTGTCTCGGACTACGTTCGGTTTTTGAACTCAAAGCATATATCAAAGGCTTGTGATCCGTAAAAACTGTAAACTGTCGTCCTTCTAAAAGATAGCGAAAATGTTTAATGTTCAAATAAATAGCTAGCAACTCCCTGTCAAATGCACTGTACTTAACCTCAGATGGCGAAAGTTTCTTAGAAAAGAAAGCTAGTGGCTCTGATTTGTTATCAAATGTTTGATGTATGACACCACCAATTGCCGTATTAGATGCATCCACATTTAAAGAGAGTTTGGCATCTTTGTTAAAATGATTTAACAATACCGTAGACGCAAACTTTTCTTTAATACATTCAAAGGCTTTATTTGTTGTGTCATCCCAAATTAAGGACTTGTCACGTTTCTTAGTTGTTCGATTGATTAAATCGTAGATAACTGCCGTAAACTCAGCTAATTTTGGTACATATCGATGGTAATAATTAACCATGCCTATAAATTTCTGCGCCTGTTTAATAGATTTAGGACGTTCAAAACTACGAATAGCTATCACTTTTTCATCAGAGGGTCTAATTCCTGCCCCAGAAATATTATGTCCTAAAAAGTCAACACTTGTAACACCGAAAGTACATTTACTTGGTTTAATATTTAACCCGTACTCTGTTAGGCGTTGGAAAAGTATACGGAGATCTTTAAAATGCTGTTCTTCATTTTCACTTGCAACCAATAGATCATCAATATATGTAAAAACAAAATCTAAACCACTAACTACTTCATTAATAAATCTTTGAAAAGTTTGCGCTGAATTTCTTAGTCCGAAAGGCATTCGTATAAATTCAAACATACCGAAAGGTGTCGTTATTGCAGTTTTATAGATATCCTCTTCTGCCATTGGAATTTGGTGGTAGGCCCTTACCAAATCTAATTTCGAAAATATATACTTATTTCTGAGATTCATGTTAAAATCTTGAATATGAGGTAAAGGATAACGGTCCGGTACAGTCACAACATTAAGTCTCCGAAAATCACCACAAGGACGCCAGTCATTTAGTTCTTTTTTAGGTACAAGATGCAGTGGAGATGCTACACAAGAATTTGAAGGTCTACAAATCCCTGTCCTCACTAAAAAATCGAATTCAGTTTTGGCTACTTTAAATTTAATCGGATCCAAGCGCCTTGGCTTAGAGAATGGCAGATTTCCTTCAGTAAAAAGTCTGTGAACCGTAGAATGTTTAACCGGTTTCGAATAATCTGGTTCAGCGATCAAAGAAGGAAACTCCTTCAACAATCTTGTATACTTGTTCTCTACTACGAAAATTTTTGGAAGCGAAATGTTACAAACACATGAAACTGTGTTAACCGAAAGACTTGTTACTGGATCAACTAAACGTTTGCATTTCATGTCAATTAAGAGACCGTATTTGCAAAGAAAATCTGCACCAATAATAGGTTTCGCAATATCAGCTATGAGAAACGTAAATGGGAACTCACGTCTTAAACCTAAATTTATATTTAAAATCTTTTTACCATACGTTGAAATCGTTGAACCATTGGCTGCAGTAAGTATTATATCTGAAGAACGTTTTGTATGAGGGAATTTTTTTACCGGAAGTATAGAAATTTCTGCTCCACTATCAATCAAAAAATTTAGTTTGTTTGTTTTATCAAAAATAAATAGGCGACGTGTGGTAATATCTAAATTTCCATTGTTTGCCGCCACAACAACGGATGACTCTAGTTTAACGAATTTTTGTTTTTAGAAAAAGCACAAGGTTGTTGACATTTCTGAGCCTTATCACCAAATTTGTAATGGTATCTACATAACCAATTTTGACTATCACGAGATTTTGATCTACCTCTATATGGACTTCTAAAACAATTCCTATTATATGATCTATATCTAGAATTTTGATTAATTTGTTGCTTAATTGAATTTAATTCAAAGGAAAGTTTGTGAAAATTTTCGCACATAAGATTCGTCGTTTTAACTAAATTATCAATAATTGTGTCTTGTGATTTAGAATTTTGAAAACTATTCATAGCTGATATTTCGGTTTTATTAATCACTTCCCAAATATTATCAGCTAGTTTCACCAATTCATTTATATCATTGGTACTTGAACTAACTAATATCACACTAAGATTTTTTGGCAATTTTCTCAGCCAAAGTTTCTTTAAAATATCCTGACTAAAATTGGAACCTGCAAGCAACATGAGCGACCGATAAAATTCAGAGGGTTTACGATCACCCATCTCTGAATCTGACAAAATTTTATCTAATTTCTTATTTTCGCTTAAAGAATGTCTTTCAATTAAGACTTTCTTTAATTGTGAAAACTTGTTGTTATGCGGAGGATTTTGAATGAAATCTAATATTGTAACTATTACTTCTTGCGGAAGCGCTGTGATTGTGTGTTCATATTTTGTAGTATCTTGTGTAATGTTTTTCATGTTAAATTGCATTTCTGTATGCACAAACCAAGCTTCTGGACAACTTGTCAAAAATTGTGGTAATTTGACTGATGTAGCACAAATCTCATTACTATTCC